TCGCGTAGTGATGTTCAGCAAGGGCCAGATCACCATTGCTAATAACGTGCGAAATACTTACCAAAGCAAAAGGATTTCCAGGGATTTTAGATGATGAAGAATTTCGAAAGGGAACCAGAATTCTGTTTGCTGACAAAAACCCTTGGAACGCTCAGTTGCGTATGTGTTGTTGGAAAAAAGTTAACTATATCAATTGTCCCTTCCTCCCAAGACATTGTAGGATATAAAGCCAAACATTAATTATAGCTATCTGAAATGAATCAATTGGATAATGGCGAATCAGAAAAGAACTTTGCTCAGAGGGGGAGGGGTTGAAGTATAAAACAGTAAAACGGGGACATTGGGGGCTCGGCTCAGGTTGCCCCGATCAACGCTCTTGTCGGAAAGATAGGGCCTTAGTTGAAGATCAAAGGCAAATAACCAAGACGTCCTTTTTTCTGTGTTGCGATCTTCGGACACCGACCACGCCACAAATAGAAATACGTTTGACGTGCTGGAAGCACATCCAACATGCTATTTTGTCGGAAAATGTTTGCCTGAAAGCCTGAATTTCCGCCACTGGAATAAGATATTCGATAATTTAGTGTACAAAGACCAAGTACCAACTTATATCGACTTACATTCAGTGCAATTTGAAAGAGGTACTCAAAGGACCTAGCACTTTGCCAAACAATTCACCCAATTTTCAATTCATGTTTCTTTTAAATTCCGCATCATACATAGATATTACATTCCAATTAGACATATATCATAACGAATAACTTAACTACAACAGTATCATAATGAAGATGAATTTATTTCAATGAAACAAGAAATTGATACGATACACAAATTAAATACAGGGGCAAAATTAAATGTATGATGAAAAATTACTCAAGAAGGTTATATCTAAATGAGATAAACTAATCGAGGAGAGAGCCCCCAATGGTTGAATTTTGATGAACTGAAATTATGAAAAATATTGTAAATTTGATTTGCATTCAAGATCAGAGTCGATCAGAATAATCGAAACAGGAGAATATTGAACCCATCCCAAAATCTTGACTTTTGTTTTTCAAGTCATTTGCCCCTCAACTGTTTTCATAACACATACCATAAATTGCTTGGTGGTCCCATGAACCACGGCACACTTTAAATTGATTTGCTCTGCTGACCCCCCCCCCTGTTCACATGACAGATTTACGGCCCTGATCTCAGGCGCCAGAGTTTCTCTTCATACGTTGTTGTTTGTTATTATACGTTGCTGTATGTTCTTTGGGTTTACAGGAAAACCTTATAGAGCTCCAAAACTTGACTCAAATTTAGTTAAGTGTAGTGGCCCCAAAACACTACTTTTCAATGAGGGCCAAATGCACCCCCATCAGAGAAAAGACCAACCTTCAAACAAAGGGTGGTCTGCGATTCATGTCACAGAATGAGAACAACGGAAGGAAGCAGGGCCAAGCAATGTAAGCAATTTCTATTAGAAATTATGAAATTTCTATGCCAAAAACTTTCTCCAATCTCTTACAACACATTCTACAAACATGTGGCCAAAAATGCTTTTCTTTTAGATGGGCAAAACTATGGAGGCGAAATAAAAATTAACAAAAAATTTAAACAGTTTAAATCCTGTCTCGAAAACTCCAGAACATAAAGGGACCCTTTTTATTCCAGGGGTTCCTTCCAGTACTTTTAAATGAGTTTACTTTGTTTATCTATTTTGTACATTTGTATTGTTAAATTTTAGGGTTTATCTTTTTCCTTGTACAGGACAGTTTGGAAAGCAAATTATTTATATATAGTTGATAGCTTTACCCTGTGTAAATAATTAAAAATCAAATGAAATGAAAAATAAATAGAATTGAAGAGCAGATAGTTATTATAGGCTTCGCGTACAAAAAACAACACCTTGTTATGAGAAAACATCGGAAAGGTCGATTTTATTCGAGACCATTTCAATTATATCAGGAAAATAACCAAGATTTCATAGGAAAAAGCAAAGAGAAAGAAAATATTATTCAAATCTTTGGTCAAGTTTGAGAGGATGAAACCTTCCAATCTGCTGACAGATAAGCGGCAATAATTGGAAGATAACGATGATATGGTCAACGAAAACATTTAAACAGATTTGAAAATATTCACTCAAGAAGCACAAATAGCTGAAAAATATGAAACTACTGTAGTAATCAGGGCCGGCGAAACGTATTTGAAAGTAGAGGGGCCAAAATATCAAAGTCTTGAAAGGGCTTAGGATAGGCCGGCACCATGGTTGGCGGAAAGAAACATTTTAGAATTATGATGTCTTAGGGATGGCCATAAACTGTATCTAAAATGAATTTTGACTGAAGTGTCGCATAGTCGCGTATATTGTGATGTTGACTTGAAATAGAAAAGTTTTGCAAAGTTTTAGAATAACCACTGTCATATAGCTCGTAATGAAACCTTATCTTAGATTCTAAAAGTACCCGAAAAAAGATGGGGGAGAAAAATAAATGAAACACTGGTTAATAAAAACATTAAAGTTGAAATATCAACAGAAGAACTATCAACTAGAAATAAAAAGTTAAGCAATTTTGTACAGTTAAGATATAACTTGTACAGTTATAACGGTTAGGATTTTTTGTGTTTCCACAAAAAAACACAAAACTTATTGTCCACAATAACAAACTGCAAAACGAATCCTATCCCACTAATGAGTCTTCCCTCCCTTATTCACAAAAAACCATTTTCCTTTAATCGCTCTCTACCACATTCCTTTTGTCTCTCCTCCTTCTGTCCTGTCCCTCCTTCAATCTGGGCTTGTCAAAATGAGTTTAAATAGAATTTATAACTGTGTCGATATTTTCTCTTTCTTAGTAGGAATGGATTATCCAAATGACAAAACTCTGAAGTTTTCTTGATGATACTTTTTAAGAACATATCTGCCCTTACTTTTTTTTACATCCTCAAAAAAGTTCTTTCCAGCTGTTTCGTCTCCTTCAACAGCTGATTTCTCTCTTTTTGTAATGTTTCTGAGAAAGTTTTCGTTAACAAATAGAACTTGTGTGCCAAGTTTAGGCAATGGAAAAAACGAAACTCCGTCAATTTGTGCTGGCACCAAGTTATTCTGGACTAGGTTTCTCGATCTATTCGCTAAGCCAATCTGTTACTCGTTGTAAAACTTAGACAATGACCGATTTCGTCGATCTAATTCCCCTCTTCAATTTTATGTATGTCTTCTATGGTAAAGACAAAGCAAGAAAGGTAAAGCTAAGGACAAATTTAAGAGAATACTAGGCAAAGCTACTTACAGAATCATATTACAACATTTTTTACCACTTTTGCGTAAAATCTTTCTTTAGCCCTGCAGAAAAGTGGGGGCATGCCTCCCCCCATTTCGCCAGCCCTGGTAATGTTGGGTCAAGAGGTGATGAAAACTCGTTTTTGGATTAATTCATTATTCACAACTCCAAGCCGTCCCCATAAGTCCCTATGTGCCGATATCAAAACTTTGTCCCAACAAAAGGATTTGAGAGCATTTTCAAGTCAAAATCGAACATTTTCTCACCCTTCTGCGGCAATGATGGTGCCACCTCGGTAGTGTGAAAATCGAGACGTTTTGTTCTGATTAAGGACGTATACTTATTATAAAAAAGTTTAGCAAAAGTTCTAATTTTTCATCTATGTATTAAAAAATGTATTTGTTTGACTTATTAATAGAACTTTTGTAGCTACAGAGGCAAAAATCAGGCTTCCAATTAATTTTTCAATGACTCATGAAATTCCTTTAATCTCATTTGCTAAAAATTAAATGCTTTGACTTTCACACTGCTTGATAGGGAGGTTCTGTATTTGCCTGGGCCAGGGGGCCCTGAACATGTTAGTGCGGCCTAGAAGGACGAAGAGCAAGAATCTGACTCTGGTAACTCAATTGGGACTTTGTGTAGCTGAAATACTTGAGCTGGCAAACATACTGCAAAGTTAAGGTGTACAACATTATTATCTTTTTTATTTTGATTAAACAGGGGCTCCGACTCAAGTTGGAAAGTGAGGGGGGCAAGGGCAAAGGAAAGACCCATAACAACAGATTCTGCTAAAAAGCTTATTGTTTTGCAAAAAAGTGGGTGGCCATGACAAACCAACAATGGTGTTTAGACAAGGAAAATCCTTTGTGCGCTAAATTTTGAAACAAATTGTGAGGTGACTGTTAGGTGAAAAGTTCGAATTTGTAGACGGGGCTTCAAGAGCAATGGAGATTTGTCATATAACATAAGCCCGTTAACATATTACGCATAAAGAATAGGGAATATGATTTTTAAAATGCCGACAGCTTATAACGGGGCAAAATGAGGTTTGCGCTAATCATAAAATGATACACTCTTTTTTTTAAAAGAACCAGTAAATTTAGGTTCAGGCTGCTTGTTCGTAATTTTTTCGAAAATCTGAGGCTGGATTGTTCTTAATTTGTTCTTAAATTAAGAGGGTGTAAGCAGTGCTATTGCTAGCTTTTTCGCTCTAAAGAGGTGTGCAAGCCTCATTTGCCAACAAAGTGAGTGAAACAGCCTTAATTTGCTGAAAAATTTGAATGTTCACCGAAAAAGCATCCACACATTGCTAAAAATCCTCGAGTTTGTGAAAAAGCGTTGTTCAAAATTGCATTTTGCAGAAGCTCAGCCTCAGCTTGTTCTTAATTTGTTCTTAACTTTTGACCAGTTTTGAGGCTTGTGTTCTTATAAAATTGTTCTTATAAAAAAGAGAGTGTACTTTGCTGTCGGACTCTATGAATGAATATGATTGGAAGAAAGTTGAATCAGTGCAGGTATAAATTATATTTTCTTTTGCAGACTTTTAAAATTGAGCTCCTTTTTACCAGCCTCCCAGCCTTACCAGCCATTTTACCAGCTTATTCGTTCCCGAGGAATAGTTGTTAACGTCATCCGACTAACGGGACTGCCGACTATGACGTCATCCATATGAATGAAATCATATGATTCGGTAAGGGGAAGCCCCTCAGCATAGTAGATAAAAATATAAGGGTCTTAGAATGAAAATTCCGGCAGTTATGCTTAGAATACCAATGATGGAGTACGTGTTAATTTTTTCGTGCTTTGTATCCGTCATGATTTTTATTAAAGGTGTCAAAAGTTTGCCCCTGATAAGCCAAAATAATGGTCTGGGGATACGGTGCAAGATGCTTGAGATGAATGGGAAATCGCTACGAGGCTTTGAAAGAATAACGCCTCCGATAATGGATGAGCTCTGCATGGAAGATGGACAGTCCAACTGTCAAGGACTTTTCGGAGAAGACCTTTCATTTTGCCAAGATGTATGCTGTAAGCTCCAAGAAAACAATGCTGAGGCAGATAATCTCAAGATCAAATGCATCAACTTGAACATTGAAGACAAAATCATTCAGGGATTTGAAAGAATCTTCCCGCCGATACAGAATGACACTTGCTATGACGATGACGGCTTCTCGAACTGTGACACTCTTTTGGAGCCTGAAAGATCTTTCTGTGCAAGGAAATGCTGCATAGATTCTTTCACCAGGAGTACTCCGCCTCCTCCAAATAAAAATCGTCATCACGATGGGAAAAATCCAGGCTACCCAGGTAAGATTATTATTAAGTTGTAGGCCTACCCTAAGTGTACATTTACTCTTTAATAAAGACTTTATATTTTTATGTTAGGGGTTTGTAGAATCCGTTCTGATGTGGCTTAGGTGATATATACCACAGAATAGAGATATTGCTATCAGGCCATTTAACTCGACGATGACGTGATGGATTATTTTGAGCACAGGTAATTCCCCACATTCCTTCAGTTCAGTCTGTCATGTCTCGCCCGTCACCCTCTCAAAATTGACCTTTGGATCTAGAGTAAACGTATCCCCTGCTTTTTAAGAAACCTATCTAGAAGAAGCCAAGAAATTTTCCAGAGAAATCTTCTTTTTCTATTTGAGGCTGGTCAATATGCATAGAAATAAAGATATATTGGGGTAATGGCAACAATTCTTGTTGAAAAAGCTAATGAAAATTATGGACAAATGCCAGATTGGAATCTTTGAAAGATGCACAGGGGATCTGTTGCATGTCCATGAAAATTGTGCATTTGCAAATAACACAGATAAAATCTTTGTGCGGCTGAGACTAATTACCATAATAACACAGTATGTAACTTTTTGGTATAAATTTCAGAGAAAAACATTAGAAACATCATTAGTGGTGATAAAAACAATGTAGCAAAGATAAACATTTTTCATAATTCCTAAAAATGAGAACAAGAGTGAACCAACCACATTAGAATTGTTTTCGTAAACCAAATCTGCTCAAACTTTGAAAACTTTGTGCATGGTAATAAATTAAATCATCCTGTTCCATGTGTATTTTACTCCCAGAAATGATAAAGATATCCTTCACATGTTGGCTGTTATTTGGCATATGTGTATACAAAAACCAGCCTTGTGTGTACACAAGCAAAGGGTGATGATGACCTAGACGATCTGCAACTCTGATGGTCTTCAAATTCAAATTTCATCAAAAGCATCAATTATTAAGTAGATACATAATACGTTTTACAGTTGAAGAAGAATCCTGTCCAGCTGGATGAATCATTTTAATAGAAATTGCGCTGCTGCAATCGCAGCTGACATTTGATGTGCACGGGCAATAATTCCAATCTGGGACAAATATATTAATTTTGATATGAAATTGGCCATGAATTTGAAAATAGGAAAAACAGTTTTATTTTGTTTAATTCATTAAAGTGTTGGGTAATAACCTTGATGAGTAATAAAACAATTATATTAAGTTTTTTTCAAAACCAGGTAATCTCCCATGTGAGCTAATTTGAGGATACAGGCTGACATAGCCAGGGTTAGCAGACTGTAGGAGTAAAGAGGCAGGAGCATTGAGAGGTCAAAAGGTCTGGGGCCCATGCCTTGATAGCGTCTGTAATTATCTTACACCATGTTTCTATCAGGTTAATCCAAGTTCTAAATACAACAGAAAAAGCTACTTCTTTAGGCTACTTTTGATATAATATGGAATCAACACTTCTATTAATTTTATCACAGCGAAAAATGATGTCCAAAAGTCCTTAATTCATGAATACAATGATTGTGCACAATCTTTTTAAGAATCCTGAAAAGCTGTTCAATTATTTCCCTAGTTCTCTGGGAGTTCAAAGGGCATGGGAGCTTAAAATTTTCTTAGTGTTGCCCAGTTTTTTGTATCACTCTTTGGCCCAAGCAAGCTCTCAACAGGCCTGCAAAGAGGATTTCAATATCAGGGGGTTGAGGGTTTACCCCCTGGGAAAATTTTAGCTGATTACACCCTTGAAGAATTTGGAAAAATGCCCTATTTTTTAAATGAGTTTATAAAGCCATGAATTTGTTTAGGTAGCAATGGTTGGCTAATCAAACACAATAATAATCATATATGACTATTGCTTTATATTGTCTTTTACGTAGCTATATGTAACTTTTATTGGCTGATCCTACTCTACAACTATCTTTCTATTTCCTTGAAAATTCCTCTAACATTTATATTCTGGACTGTGTAAGACAAAGAAGCTCTACATGTGAAAACTGATTTTCCAAAGTTGTCAACAAATATTTATAAATAATAAACAGTATTCAAAAAGTTCCAAACTAAGTCTGTTCTCTGAGGAACAAATTCTGCAAAATCCTCGACAAGCATTTCAGAATCCAGTTTTTTATGGATTCAAGCACATTAGCATTTTAGTTTCTATTTCATTGGGAATCTCTAATAAGTACCCCCACCCAGGGACGAAAATAAGTTGCTAATTTTGGAGGGGCGTGGAAGGATGAATATTCCAACTTTAAGTGAGAAATTTTTGATGCGACCAGTAAATCTACTGTACCCACCAAATTGATATTTGTAAATAGCCCGAACACCATAGTTCTATTTTCTTTATAACTACCAAAACCTTACTCAACAAATAGCCTAAAACATAAAAGCCTAAATCTCTAAATTTTGATCACCATGAAACAAAAATTTAAACTTACTGTAAGAAGTAAAGCAACAATCAAGCAAAACCAGTATTAAATATACTTAATGATTAGTAGTATTCTTTCAGATCGATTGATCAATTTTATCTAAATTGATCAATTGATCAATTGATGCAGATCTATGTATCTAAAATACATTTTTTCACGATATAAACGCACCCAGAATTCGAGCCTTTTATTTTTGTTCTTGATCGAAGAAAACTACTAACACTTTTCAGATGACCAAATGCCTTTTCGTTCTTTACAATTGAAATGATGATTTGAGAGCAAACTTGTGCATATGCCTGATTCGAAAGATGAAACACTCTTCTTTGATCAAATACTTCTACTGCAATTTTGCAATGTGTTCTTGCTTCACAGCAGTTTTGTCATAGGAATTTATGATAATGAGTCAAGGACGTTAACAAATAACAGGGGGAGTTTAGCATAAACTCGTTTTTTATAAGAAGCGTTGAGAATTTTTAGTACTGAAAGATTCTCAATCTTTTTTTGAATTAACTACTCGTAGTTTCTTAAAATACTCCCACTCTAATATTTTCTGATCAATGCGGGTATTATTATTCCAAACTGTAAAGTTTCAAGTTTCTTATCCGGAAATTCACCTTGCCTGTTCTTATTTGATTTAACTCCCGTCAGAAAGAAAGCAAACGGGGCAATTGTGCAATTTGGATCCAGTGGAGACGGGATTCACAATAGATAACGATTAATGGATGAGTCAGATTCAGCCTGTGAATTTTGATGTTTAGAATTTTTACATTTGAAATAAAAAAACTTTTTAAAATATAAAATTCATAAGTTTGGACTTATGAAAAAAATTTCAAGTCAACCGTTAAGTTTTCCAACTGTAACTGGATTTTCCAAACTTTGGGGGGGGCGTTACGCCCCCCACGCCCCCCTATTATTTACGTGCCTGCCCCCACCCCTCCCCTGAGGTACTAATTTTTTTGCAGATTTGCATTTTTCTCAGACACCAATTTTCTGAGCATTGGGGGGAAGCCGCCACCTTGCTATGCTACTGGATGGGGAATTATATCACAAAAAAATTGTTGGGTGTGGGCTTATTTGGGGAGTGGCCGTATTCATGACTGACCTGCATTTGTCAAAGGGTTTACATTGAATATCCTAACCATTATCATACACAAGACATCTTTTGTATTTGAAAATTTTCTCCCCATAGCTGCAGATATGGACAGTAATGCTTGTGGTCAATTGGAAAAGGAGCTTCATCGCTGGAGGAATACCACCTATGCATTTGAAATAATATCATTTGTTCTTTTAGGTGAGTTGTCTTTAAATATAAATTTAGTGTGCAGTCCATGTTGATTTTAATAATTATGGGAATTGTTTCATGGTTTCATGGTAAAAAAATATTGATCTCTATTTCTGGGAATTTTATCAATTTGTTTTTATCATGCTATGGCTAGATTCAAACTCAATATTTTGTGAAAATTGACTTCACACTCCATACCAGCAAAATAGTTGTCCTCAAAGGTTTTTCATTTTTCTCCCTCTCCTCTTGCATTGAAATATTTTGATTATCAATTATAATTGTTTTGTTTTTGTTCAATCCTAGTGGTGTTGGTAATTTTGATAGCAGTACTGTGTTGCACTAGGAAAAAATGGGAAAAGAAAGGGAAGATACAGTTTCCAGCTGATATGCACAGCTCAAATGTAGACATTGCTCTTCCAGGCAGGACAGAAGATAGAGAAACTCTCTTATGATAAACAGCAAGAGCATATTAAAGCTGTCCAATTTCAATTTTATGGCAAAATTGAAATAAAAATTAGAAAATAATTGTCCTGCCCTTGTTTTGAGAAAACTTTAATAATGGATGGATAGAATATGATAATTTTTTTTTTGAAAGCTAAACATGTTTAAAAGTTTTGCCCTAAGCTATTTTTTAAGGATTGTACATATTTTCATTGCATTGAAAATATTTTCATATTTTCATTGAAAATTATATTGTAAATGAATTTGTATTTAAATAGTTAGCATGTTCAAATGGTGGCATTTTCTACAACAATTTCTTGTTTTGGCTATTATTGCAATGAGGCTGAAAGTGCTACTATTGTATTTGCTTCTGTGTACAAAACCCAGTGAGCTTTTATCCTCATGAATGATAGCAAGTAAACAAAATGACCAACAAAATATTTCTTGGACTTGCAGGGGATGAGGTTCAGGCTAAAGCAGGAACCTTAGACTTACTGGGGGCAGAAAATCAAAGCTTGCAGGGGCCAGGATTAAATAGATTGGTGCCAGGAAGATTTTCTCTGTAGCAGGGACAGTGTCCTTTAAAATGATATGACTTCGTATATAACTCAATAAATGCACTTTTAGCTCTTAATAATCTTTTGTTTATAAAACAATATTTAAGTAAGCATGTAGTTTTGTGGAGATGTAAATGAGGATGATTGGGAAAAGCATATTAAAAAGGTCTCTTTTCTTGTGTCTCTACCTGGCGAGTAATATATCTTACATTCGAAAGGAGGATGGGACGTCTCAAAAATAAAGGAAATTGTATTGTATAGATTGTTTAATGTTAGTTTTTACAATAGTGAAAACACACTAACTAAGACTAACATAAAGCAGTTTCAAGGATTGCATAAGACAGATTACTTACTGCAAAACGAGCACTCAAACTTGTTTTTAAGGAACTAAGTTTTGATCAAATTCTTGGATTGTCTTGTATTTTATGCTGTCTTTAATGATTCTGGGAGTGAATGCAAGATTTTAGGCCTTTGAAAACTTAATGATCTGATACCATTATTGGTGGTTCTGGCTTTTGGAATGTCAAGAGGGTTTTTGAGTCGAAGGTTATGACCTATTGTTTGGGTAAAAAATAGTCTTTCATGAAAACAGGATTAAGTCTTATAAAATTCTAACTGATTGGATATGTATGATAGTTCCTTTTTAGTTAGCAAGTAAATCTTTGTAAGAAGATGAATAGTCCGATAAAGGCTAGTCGTAATGTCATCTTGCTAATTTTCTCTAGCTTATCCTGACTTCATTTACAACATAGAATCCATATCAATGGACAATAATTGAAGTGACATAATATAAATGAATTCATAATTATCTTTTTTTCTGTCGCCAATAAATCTTGCTAATTTTTTTAAAGAATTGAACTGTTGTTTTCGAATAGAACTAGCTGTTTTATACAGATCTTATCGATATGAGCATCAAACTTTAAATTTTCAACAATGTGAACACCAAGCAAAGTAACGTTTTCCTCTATTTTAATGGCAAATTCTTTGTAAATTTCAAACTCACTTATGCATTAATCTTTGCTGCCGATTGTGATAGCTTGAAAATCTAGAGGGATTTGCAATCATTTCATCTGATTTAAACCAGGGCGGATACCAGCAGTGATATATAGGGGGGCGGAGATTATAATATTTCCGACGACAAATCTACTTCAATGGCAAATTTAATACTACACGTGCTCATTTGTCATTTCCCATTTGCTAGGTATAAGTCTTGTAGCCCAACCCAATTTGCTATATTACAGATGCAGATAGATTTCTTCAAGGTGTAGTTGCCTTCTTGGTGAAGTGACTAGTCAAGGCAAAGGACCACTAAATTATTCTGCAAGGACCAACTTTGGCTATTTTCAGTCAATGCAATATAAAATAATCGATTAAAAGTAAAATTGCTAACAATAAAATATGGAAAGCTAAGAAAAATATCATCAGACAGTCGTTGGGGTGTAACTTCTGACTGTGGATCCTAAAATTTTCCGACCAGCATTCAAATTTTCTGACAAACAGCCTTATAGGGGGGCGATGCGCCCTCCCATATCCCCCATTGGCATCAGCATCATCATCATCATTCATCAAGACATTTTTCAGTGTTAATTTTTACAAGTTGCAATAGTTCATCAGTAATTGTTGCAGTGACAGATATCGTGTTGTCATCAGCAAAATTACATAAAGACCCTTCACCAAGGCTGTAAAAATTTTCGCCTAGGAATATATTGAAAAGTAGAGGTGCAAGTATTGAACCCTGTGGCAATCCTTGTCCACGTTTACTCCATGAGCTGTAATGACCTTTCATTTTGACTCTTCTCTTTCTATTAGAACGATATTTTTGTATAAGTAAATGAGAATTTCTATCTACACCATAGGCATGTAGTTTTGCTAATAGTAGATTTTTTGGTAGACAGTCAAAGGCTTTTGATAAATCCAAAAGGACAGCACCAATATGTTTGTTCCTTTCCAGTTCTGCTTTCCAGTCTTCAATAAGTCTACCAAGAGCGTCCTGGGAAGAAAAGTGTTTTCATATGCGCATATAAATTTCGAAAATTTTTCTTCAAGAAACGGAGAAAGTTGGAGCTCTATTGCTTTTTCAAATACCTTAGAAAGTGTTGTGAGTAGACTTATTGGTCTATAATTTTCCTTATTGAAAGAATCTTTTTTCTTACAGAGAGGTGAAACTATAGCCTTTTTCAAGAAAGTTGAAAATTTCCCTTGAATATACATTTATTTATGATGTTCTTGATGGGCTGTAGGATGATATCAACTGAGATCTTTAGGAATTTCGCATCTATTCTGCCTAAATAGAGTTCTTGAGTAATGACGTCACAATAGTATGTTCTTAGAATTTTGCATTTTGATCACATCACCAGAAAGAGCATCAGGGCTGTGATCAGGGTATTGCCACTACATATTCAAATTGGCTGAGACAAGGTCCCATAATAAAGGCTCTTAACCCATCAAATTATTTTTATTTGTTCTCTCCATAACTAACGATATAACAAAAATAATAGTAACCCATTCGCCGTTACAGTAAAAATCCGTATATAAGAAACTCACTTATAAGAAACAGCAGGCTGACTTTCTAAAGAAATGTACTAAACTATAAGGAACTGGTAAGCTTGATTTTTTCCAGTTTCTTATAAGTACTAATTTTAGAATAAAAGCCTCTAGAAAGAAATTAGAATACAATTTGATACAATATTTACTATTAGTCATGGAGTTTTCCCTTCAGTTGGTCCAGCTATTTTCATGATCTTATAAGAAACTCATTTTTATGAGAAACTCATCAGCCTGTTTTTCAAAATTAATTCCTTTTAACAGAAACTCGTCAGCCTGATCTGAAAAGGGGTTTCTATATGCGGGTTTTTACTGTAGTAAGCTTCAAATCTATCATATTTCCCCAATATTTAACACGTTGATTTTCCACTTTAAGAAGTATTTAATGATCTTCTTTTGGATTATAAAGTGAAAAATTCTAAACTAGACTTAAAAACTCAATCTCCTACATTCCTTTTTATCTTCTGTTAAATTATAAGCGCGATCTAGTTTCCCTTGATGCCCCGCCTTCTCCTTATGTATTGGCCTCATCCATGTATATGCTTGATCTGACAGAGGGACAAAACACTTTATGAAAATCTCGTACACCTTTGGTTGAAATCCTTTTAATTTGACTGGAAATTTCGATATACCATTTTGGTTTCGTTTAAATCTCGTATGCTATTTGCATGAGGTCATTGCCTTCGGCTCTGACTTTGTCGTCATCATCATTATTAAATATATATTCATTCATGCCACCCAGTTGGGGCACGAGGTTCAACATAAGAAAGTAGAAATAAAATTAAACCCTACACCTCGAAAGTGGTAAAATGTGTTGTTTGATTTATTATGTTTGATCGAATGCTTGTTTACGTAGCACCTGTCATTCTGAAATTTCAAAACCGAGATTTTAGACATTTTCCTAAGAAAATAAAGGAGATATGGCCAAAAACTGGGGGAAACCAGGTCAAAATTAACATGAATTAATACTTCATATTTTTTAAAGTGTTTGTTGTTCATTTTTAAGCACGAAAAAATTTGACATGAAGAAACCATACATCTTTCTCATATGCATAACGCTGCAAGATTTTAGATTGTATTAACTATGTAAACTTTGAATAAGTATTGCTACAATTACAAAAGACATATAAACACAAACCATTGCCTTTATTTGATTTGTCACAAAAAGGTAAAAACGCAGTTCGTGAAATAGAAGTATTATCCAGTTTTTTAACTGAAATATTATCCCTTGTTTCACAAAATAACAATTTGGAAAATTTTATTTTGGCAGCAAAATGAAACTTTCAGTAGAGGCAGAAATGGTTTTGGAGATAACAACAAAATTTGTAATTTTGCCATAAAACATATTTTTAATGTTCAACTAACATTTAATCGTCTAATCATAAACTTACGTCTCAGAATAACTATTTCATATATTACTTCTTTGTCATAAATATTAATAACTACTTCGACATATTCACACGTGAACCTTATTTACATTTCAAAGCAAAATGAGATGATGCATGTTCAGAGTTGGTATGGACGGTATCTGATCAAATGAAATGTTATGAGACACGAGGATTCGCATCGCAATCTACTACTCTTATCATTTATAGGCAGATCTGTGCCTAGGGTTTTCTATGAAAAAGGGAGATGGGGTGGAGCCCTGATTTGAGATATTCTTAAATTGCTCATAATGTTAACATGTCGACTTGGATAAAACGTTCTCAAAGGTACTGCAAAATTTAAGTGATCTAAAATCTATTCTTTTGGTAGTGGGAAAATATGTTACCTATATACAAAACTTTTTAAGCCACGCCTTTTTTACCGCCCGAAATAGCCCTTCTACTAACAAGGAACGCACGCCAATTTCACCTTCAAAAAGAAAGAAATAGAAAAGAAGGAGTCTTTTCTATGAGAAAGCAGAGGAAACCTCGAGGCCATGGACACAACCTTTCAACGGACAGTAGCCAATAAAGGCTTTACCGTATAAAAGCTTTACGCAAGTTTCACTCTTGCTAGAACAATAATTATCTTTCTTGTTCATATATTTAACATATGCACCTGACGTCAAATCCTTAGATTAAGAAAAACAATGATCTATCTTTATATCTCAATGCGTTTGGTTGAATTGAAATTTCGAATGCCTTTGATCAAATATATACAACTTGGATGATAAGTGATAAGAAAATCAAAGTGAGACATTGTTTTCTGAAATCAGTTATGCACACTCGAATACAATATGCGACTATGGGTATGGGAATTTCATTTGTAAATGGCCGATGCTTTTTCGTAGCACAGCAGATACCTAAATTGGCATCAATTCTGAGACTAATTTTGGATATTCACAATTGCTAATGGTTGTCCATGGACTGCATGATTTCAGTAGTATTACTTGATTCTTTCGATTGGCAATATAAATTGATCCCAAAAAGATTTTTATCAAACCACAAGCGCTGAAGAAAAGCTTGTCTTAAAACTTACAAGACAACTGCAGTGAACTGTGCCATTTGTCTAAAACGACATCAAAAAGGTATCATTCTCTGTCTAAAGACACCGATGGTTTTTTCCAGCCAAGATAAGAGTTCGGCGTGTCATCAACGTGTCATTAAAACGGAATGCTCTCTTCCAGCGGCTCATTCAAAATCCTTGCCCTTATTCCAAAGAGGTCTTTCACCAGTGAAGACTTTTTGATTTGTAGCTGTTGTATGTGAGACGAAATATCGTCGATTCCCTAAACAAAAACAAGCACGGTGGTATTTTTAAAGTGAAAAACAGCGAAGTAGTATATAATTTTGCTGTGCATTATTGTCAAAGAAAGAATAGAGCAAGTGGAAGTAGGTAGAAAGTAAGATGGTGCTGCATTTTAAAGGGATGCTTGCACCACATTAGCAGTTGTGGCATTTGCACAGTCTGGCAATCTTAAAATTTGAGGCGTTGTGCTAGCCTGTATCACAGAACACAGCAAGCGCAGATCTACCAAAAATTTTGACTGGTTTCGGGGTGCTTTACCCTATGTGTTACAGCCCTGTGTGTTATTGGTCCATAAACATTGCTAAAAGTTGCTTACGAGGTTAGTAAAATGTGATTAATTTGCCCACACTTTATCTAAAATGTCACAATTTTACTCCGTTTCAGCATGGTCTTTGACCCTCTTCTTGCAACTTCGATTCTAATTTTCATGATGTTTTCCGAGTCTAGTCCCTCAATACAAAACCTCAGATTATTATTTGCATCCGTTTTTCATTTTGTAACGTTTTGTTTTGAAGCGTCCACACTTTTGAGGTATGGATAACGATATCGAATATGCTTTTTAGCCACCGGTTTTTTCGCATAAGGGAAACATATGGGCACGAGTTTTTACAGGTTTTCAGAAAACAATAGCCACCGGTTTCCATTTGGCGCCTAGAGAGCATACTCCAAACTGTCACTTCGAGTGGCTACTGATTTCCTCGATCTTGAATTCCTCGGATACTTTAGGATAAAAGATCGAGTGGCTTCCTTAAAGCTGGGAACTCTGTCGCAATCTTGTGGGGGTTCAATTCAGTATGTAAGCAGAACGACTGTAGTCAGTCAGGGAGAAATTTAGCAATTGTTGCAATTGAAATTTTGATCAAAATTTAAAATTTGAAGAGAAACATAGCTTATAGAATTCGACCGGTTTTTTTTAAACCAGTGCAACCGGCCTAGATCCACGCCTGACACAGACTTCCAGTTTCGCATGATCGGCAATTGTGTATGAACAATTTCTACTTCAATTCTACTTCAATACCAAAATCATCAATTTAATCCTTTTCAAAATACAGAAAGTACAGTTGATAGATACAAGTTATATGTAAACGACAAATGCAATTTATGCCATCAAAGTGAGTGATGTCCATATGGCAAGTATGCCATCAAAGTTTGCCTCCAAGTTATGCATCAGCCTTTATGATAAGCGACAGGTTGACAAAAAGTTTACAATAAATGAAAAAGTTTTCAGCCTCTATCCAACGTTTTTTTAACAAACACTGTCTTTAAAGCATCAAGAAAGTTCATTCTAGCAACACATCGGTCCTTTGCAGGTAGAGCCTGCATAATATATAAAAACAATTATGGTCTAAAATTTTGCTGTGCTCTATAGTTTCTCAAGCTTTTCATTAATTGTTTCTTTTCTTTTTAAGAAAATAACTGAGCATACCATCCTTTAAAAGAGCATATTACCATTACTTGTGTTCCCATTATATCTTACACGAACCTACCTCACTGGTTTGACTTGTAAGCTGGGACTTCTGAAGCTTTTGATTCATTTTATAAACTCTATCTATGTGCAGTCCAATATGAGAATAGTCAAAGGCGGAATAATCATCATATTTCATTTTGGAGCCCTAGAAAAAAATGCATACTAGACATTATAGAAAAAGGAAAAATCAAAATTAAACGCATGGTTTTATGGAACAATACAGATAGTAACATTGATGATCTTATGTACATTCTTGAAATTCTTGCTCTGCAAAGGAAAATCATTAGAAAAATGGAGGTATTCAAAAAAGAGAAGGCCAGTCACCTGTTTGGGTAATGGATGGTTTTTCGCTCTGTTCGTTTTTGCTTATCAAACGGTTATAGGGGAAATTTCCTGTGCTTCATAAAATATATGGAAAGAAATTAAAAGATTGACAATTGATGAGGAAAGAAACTTTTCTTCGAGATCTCCCAAATTTCTTTGAAATCATTTTCAAGCGGTTTCACCTTTCTACATTGAAATAGATTTTCAGCTTATTTCAAATTTATCTGGAATCAACCTTGTGTTCAACCTCCAATCATTTATCATAAATTCTGCCTAATAATCTTGATGTCTTTGAAGTTCTTGATTACTTGGTTCTATTAAACCTTGCCTACATCGAATATGTTTGAATATGCTATAAGTTGATAAAGATATACTTGATAAAGATGGTTGATTATGATTGGCGATGATGATTATGATGGTCAATTATTGTCACTTGGCTGAAGATGATTTCAGACAGTGGTTGATAATGGTACAAATCATAATCTTTGAAGATGATTTCTGACACTGGTTGTTAATGGTGGACATGGTTGCTCTTGAGGTCGGAAACAAACACCCATTTATTCGCTTTGGGAATTTTGAAGACACACACACCGTATTTCAGCCCACTGTTCCATTGATAAAAATTTTGGTAAATTTTGAAATGGAAAATTTTCTGGCAGTCCTTTTCAACAAGACTTTTGCTTCAAAGAAGACAGCACAGATATCCAATGCACCCTCAACCTGATCAAATGACCTGGAGGAAAATCCCAATACCACCAAACCTGGGATGTAGTGCTAGGGACAAGGAGGGGCTTGTTGATGCCCAAAACACAGCCAAGTTATACCATTTATATTTTGTTTTGAGAAAAATTTGTGGTAAAGCCCCCTTGTTCTTTTCGAAGCACAAAAGTCCTGAACCAGACACCAATGCAACATCTCCAAAATAGACATGGCACACATACTGATTTTGGCCACAACTTATTGGAACTGTCCTGAGGCCTCAAAAATTTTTGCATTTGAATCGAAAGGTAATTCTTTGTGGCAATTCAGGATGTTTCTCTGTAGCTTTTCATTTGAATATCTTTTACAATTTCATATAGAAATACAGTGACAAAATAAAAGAAATGGTCTCGGAAAAAAACACCCTTAGATATTAGGATGAAATTATCATCTTTAAACCAAGCATTAAGTAAGCACAAAGAAGTTCAGCCTACTTTAATAAATTATTTTATATAGATTATAAAACAAGGCTGTCGTGTTGAGTTGGTGTGTTCATGATGATAATTGATGAAACTAATGTATCAAATCAAGAAGTTTGCAATTTTCTTTGTTCATGAAGCCATTTTAATCATTTTGCTTGAATCCAGTGGCGGACACTTGGGGGGGGGGGGTTTGAGGGGGGGTGACCGCCCCCGCAATACTTTAGAGGACAATACTTTTGTTCTAGAACAAAGGGATATGTGACGTCATCTTATCAAAACAATAGGCTTGCCCCCAATATTTGATCAAGTGTCCGCCCCTGCTTGAATCAATGTGCAGAAAGACCAAACATGAAGCTGTGTGAGCATTGCGCCTTGATTAGTTTTCTGAAAGGCACTTTGTCCAGTCTGTCAACTGCCCCAAGTTAAAGGTAATGTGTCCAGCTAAAGCAAGCAACTCTGCGGGAGTTTTCAGAAACGTGATTTTTCCTTATTGCCCCAGCCATTACGGTCATTTTGTCTATTTACCCTACCATGAAGGTTGGTTTTCATGTGAGCAGTTTTGCATCGCAAGAATACTGACCAACACAAGTTGTATTTTGATATTACTTGACAAGTTGGGTATACACAGTTCTTTTATATGGACACATTACCTTAACAATAGGCTTTGCAGCTTGTGTAAAATGGATAAAACACTGAAACCTAGCTGATTGATTCTGTAACAATAGGTCTATTGTATAGTCTAACCAATGGGAATTCAAATGGCCAGCAAAATGCCTCAGGACAAAGTGCTTTTAATATGATACTCAAGCAGGACCTATGCATATAAAAAGGGGGCATTTTAGGATTATTTTGTTGGTAAGGTGACAGGGGCAACACAGCCATTGGGATAGCTGGAACTATAAAGCCCCTTTCTTTTTTACAATAATAATAATAAAAGGTATTTTTGAGATTTGACAACATTTGTGACCAGCCATATTAACTTTAGTATGATGTAGAGATGTTAATGTACAATCACCCACTGCTCAGCATCTGCAGGGAGATCTTTATTAATGGCTACTAGATGTTCAAAAACCTGGCTTTGTTGTAATGTCGCAATTCATTAACCTTGCAACATTGAACTTTCATTTCCTTTATGATCATTGTTAATGATTTTGTTTGAAAGGTAAACTGGTATGCTAGTTATATCTGATTTTGTGTCACATTTACTATGTTGTGGACATTCATATTGAAATCTTCTCTGAATCTCTGAATTTTTTAACAAAAATAGGATGCAAAGAAGCATCCTTTGAAAGTTGCACTTTCAGGCATTTTAAAGGGCAGGTCCTAACAAATGTTTCTAGTTCAGCCCCCTTCTTTTAGACTGGTGCACGGTCCACATTTGGTGACTGTGGATATATAACGCTATGGGAGGCAAAATTGATAGAAACACCATGAAGGTCATATTAAAAAATTGCCAGATAAATGATCAGGCTTTGTAACAAGATCATTTCAATATGTTAAAATTGAGTAAAATTTCATCTAGCAGCCATAAACAGATTATTTCTCAACAATCTGGTTGGTATCACTGTCAAAAACAGATCACTAATCTCTCTAACAAAACATTAATAATAGCCTTACCATTTTCACTTCATGGAATCTCATTTTCAGTTTCTCTAACTCTGCTAGTCTAGAGCTGTACATCTCTTTTACTTTGCTTGTTTCAGCAAGGCATCTTTGAAGCAAGAAAATCTCATTCAGAGTATCATTATATAAAGTATCTTTGCCCTGTGAGAGAATATTACATTTTTAAAATAAATTGAATTTAAAGAATATACTAATATTTTGCCCCGGCATACAGGGCTTCATCAGAGTAAATGAAATGAATGAGTGAAATTAATTAACTTTGCCTTCATAGATGCAATTTCAAAGTTGTGCTCAAACTACAACAATTTTGAGGAGCAGTGTAAACAAGAAGTTGTTTGAGCCTCAGCTAAAACATAGGTGTTATTTTACTTTTATATATAATTTAAATATGATAGGTATACCCAAATTTAACATGAAATGAGTCCAAGTCATTATTACATTAATGCCAAAATTATGAATTACAATTTGCTATCCTTTCAACTGAAATTGTCAATTTATCATTGTGCTGAAAACATTTAAAGGTATATGTACTAGACATGTTTGACATAAAAATTGGTGCACCAAAATGAAATTTGTCTTAGCAAAACGCTTCATCTTCTATAAGGCTTTCCCTTTTGTCCTCAGTACACAGAAATTGCATTACTGTAGAACATAGAAATTTTGCTTAATGACAATTGGACACTACTTCGGGTACCCAGAACAAAGTGTCAACCGCCCAAGCACCTTTATCAAACAGGACTTTGTGGAATGATAAATAAAGGTTCATTTAAAATACATACCAGAGACTTTCCTTCTTTATCTGAAAAAGAAAATGCATTTTCAGTTCTCTTGACTCAATGGAAACAAAATTAACAACAACAAACAGCACTCTGACATTTATGGAATGTACATTTTTGAATAATAAATGAAATTTTTGAGACAAAAGTTAAGCAAATATCAGGGGAATATTATATAATCTTATCACCTGCTTTTCATGCCAGTCAGCTTATCAATACTTGGCTGTTTGGATATTGTTAAAACTATGAAGGAAACTTTTTGAGGACAAAGGCCAGTATTACAGCAGTATTACAAACCATTTCAATACCATCAAGATCTTAGAACTTCCTGGGATTCTCTACATTGCAAATTATGTTGCAACTCTCAGTTCTGATGGGACATAGCATTTTTCATCAAAAATTCTACACAACTATGTCAAAATGGACCTAAGACTTTAAATTGTCAGTTGTAATTAGTCTGTACTGAAAACTTCATGCTTTTTTAACTGTTCAGTGAATACATTGTTTTCAAAATTAGCTTTACTCATACCTACATTTCACAGGAATTTGCTGCAGCCAGGAATTCATTTTGCTAGCAACAAATTCTGGTATGATCTTCAAAAAATATTTAAATATCTAAGCCAGAGCAATTCTGTTCAGTCTGTCAAGGAACGAAATTTTCAGCAGGTTACAGTTACAGCAGGGAATTCATTGCAAAGCAATCCTTTTTCAGTAAACAAACATAACAGTACTACTAAAGAGGGTATAACTCTACTACAGAGAATAACATGAGTCATTCCTTAGACTGGCAGAGGAATTCGTATACAATCATTCAAGTGCTGGAACACAAATTTTAGCTTGGCAAAAACGTGAAAGGCTTAGTATTCCATTTCAAAGCAAATATACCTGAAATGTTGGCGTCAGGTGTTATGCTGATTCTGCTTGATTTATTCCCCTCACGATTATTGTCACTTGCTGGTTCCTCTTCATTTGACTCCGTAACTGCAAATAAAAATGATCTCGGTCGTAGTGATCGACTTAAACTTCCTGTTCTCCCGAACTGATTCTTTCCAAGTGCAATTTGGATAGCGAGGGAAAATCTTCTGAAACTTATAAATCCGTTCGGTGGACATATTTGCTGCAGCACACTCAATAACTTCGGCGACGTGAATTTTTGATACGTCTTGTTATCATTTTCATCTTCACAAGACAAATGTTTTTCAAGTTCGTTTACAGTAACATAACCTTTGTTGTCAGCATCGAAAACGTCAAAAAGGCTTTTCACGCAGTCCAAAAATTCACCTCTCTGACCATCCTCAAAACAAGATCCATCAAGCGATGAGCCGCTTGTCAAAGATGTAGGGGTTGTTTCATCCCATGCGCCAGATGGTGATTCCATTTTTGCTGCAGAACTAAAAAAGTTGCTGTTGACACCTCCTGCCAGCATGAAACTGTGGGGTGTTCAATTTTTGATCAGCAGAGTTGACTTATTGGAAAAAAGTTTTGCTTACAGCAACATGAAACTGAGCGCCATACACCAAACATAGCTTCCATGCTCATTTTCGTCATGCAAAACTAGACAATAACTTCATAAATATTACTTCTCGTAACAAAAACTTTTCCTGCTTCACATTATGCAAGATCAAGAAGTTAAAAGGCCACTAGAGTAAACAAACAAACACTTTCAACGATTCAAATTTTCAATTATTGATTCCTAGCCTCGCATTGGGAATTCTGTTTTCTGATTGGCTGCCTACAAACTTACAAAGGAATATGGCTGCTAGGTGACTGGTGACTACACGTTTCGCAAAAAAATATTCTTTAGAAGAAAATTTTTAGACAACAGGATGAGTTTGCTCCAATTATATTCCTTTTTTCAAGCAAATATAATTTCAATGAAGAATAAAATTTTCGAAGTCTTAGAAACAAAAAAATGGTGTGTTTCAATGGACTAGTGGTGGGCGTAGAGGGGGCAGGGGGCTTCCGCTTTACCGCCCCTCCGTCAGAGGAAGTTAGCCCAATACTCAATACTCAAAAACCTTCATAATTTGTTGGAGCAAGGTTTTGCTGTGCTCATAATCAGAAATTGATAAAATTGTTTAAGTTCTTTGCAGTTTATCTCATTGAGCAAAAAGTATTCTATATTGCTGTCATCCCATCTTTCTTGCATCTTGCTATCTTCAGACCTTTCTCAAAAATACACTTCAGATTTGAAATCGTCATCCTGGGTTAATCTATACTGGGAAATTCATGTCGTTTTGTTTGGAACTTTCTTTTGCGAGCTAATTGAATATTTAGATATTACTATATAGACGGGGAAATTTGCATAGCCATTTAGCAACCTGCCTAACTAACGTAAGGCCACTGATCATTTAAGCCTTAGGAACATTCTGGCAAATGAGAGGAAGTCGCGTTTCCGGAAGCATGAAAAATGCACGATCAGTAAAATGTCTTTTTTCGATTTTTTTCAAATCTGATGATACCATCAGAAAGAGATTGCAAAACTGAGAAAAAAGAAATAAAAAGGATAATATGATCTGACCTATTAGCAAAAAGTTATTGTTGTTTAGGCTTTTCGTTTTGTCAAACAACTTGCTGTTTGGAGTTTCACGATAATGGAAACTTTTCATTTTGAATTCCAGTTAAAACTACAATTACAAATCTCACTATTACAAGGTAATTTGTAACTGGCTAGCCAGGGACGAAAACAAGTTGCTAATTTTGGGGGGGGGCGTGGAAGTATGAAAATTCCAACTTCAAGTGATAAATTTTTCATTCGACCAGTAGATTTGATAATTATAGTAAAGATTTGGTAATTAGATCTGTTGTACCTACCAAATTGATATTTGTAAATAGCCCGAGCACCATAGTTCTATTTTCTTTATAATTACCAAATCTTTACTCAATAATTAGCCTAAAGCATAAAAGCCTAAAATCTCTAAATTTTGATTAACATGAAACAAACATTAAACATACTGTAAGAAGTAAAGCAACATTTAAGCAAAACCAGTATTAGATATACTTAATGATTAGTAGTATTCTTTCAGATCAATTGATCAATTTTATCTAAAATACATTTTTTCACGATATAGAAGCACCAAGAATTTGGGCCTTTTATTTTCGTTCTTGATCGAAGAAAACTACCTTTAAACTTTTCGGAGGGCCAAATGCCTTTTCATTCTTTACAATTGAAATGATGATTTGAGAACAAACTTGTGCATATGCCTGATTCGAAAGATGAAATACTCTTCTTTGATCAAATACTTCTACTGCAGTTTTTGCAATGTGTTCTTGCTCCACAGCAGTTTTGTCATAGGAATTTATGATAAGGACTCAAGGACATTAACAAATAACAGGGGAGTTTAGCATAAACTCGTTTTTTATAAGAAGCGTTGAGAATTTTTAGTACTGAAAGATTCTTAATCTTTTATTGAATTAACTACTCGTAGTTTCTAAAAAAATTCCCACTCTAATATTTTCTGATCAATGCGGGTAATATTATTCAAAACTGTAAGTTTCAGGTTTCTTATCCGTAAGTTCACCTTGCCTGTTCGTAATTTGATTCAACTCCCGTCAGAAAGAAAGAAAAAGAAAACGGGGCAAGTGTGCAATTTGGACCCAGCGGAGACGGGATTCACAATAGAAAACGATTGGATGGGTCAGCTTCAGCCTGTGAATTTTAATGTTTAGAATTTTTATAAATTAAAATAAAAAAACTTCTTAAAATATAAAATTCACAAGTTTGGTCTTAAGAAAAAAATTCCAAGTCAACCGTTACGTTTTCCAACTGTAACTGGATTTTCCAAACTTTGGGGGGGCGTTACGCCCCCCACGCCCCCCTATTATTTACGTGCCTGTGGCTAGCCTGTGTTTATAAAATAAAAACTATTACAATCGTAGTAATGAGGAAAAAAACAAAAAATGTTAAAAGGGGAGTAGCTCTGGATTAGTCAAAGTTTTGTTTCTACAGCAGAATATATAGCATGTGGTGCGAATGGAGATGCTTGTAAGTTTGGAGATAGCGTTTCTGTTGATAATCAATGGACAAAGAGTCACACATGTCGATGAATGAGCTGCAGGAGCTGCCAAAAATACCAAGTGAACTGATGGAAAGATTGACAAGCGAGACTGACTTAAACTGACGTTTTAAGTCAGATACGAGGGTGGCATATTTCTCTGACTTTCTGACAGCATTGCAGTTGAGATTTGTTTCGAAGCCTATGGTTAGCTCTAAAATGTACAGACAGTTTTCCTTAGTTTTGAGAAGTAAGTCAGGGCGTAGTTGATTTCCAGTTATGATAGAAGGGGAAAGAAAGCCTGGTAAATCTGCGTAGAGAGAAGACCCATTTATTGCTTGGAAGGAAGTGGCTAGAAAGTTTAATGCAGAATTATAACGTCAAATATAGCGGCCTTGGTCAAGGTACACTTTGAATCCAGCAACAACGTATAGAAGTGTTGCTGAAAGAAGACAGAATTCATAGTCAAATGTTTGACTATGTTTCAGGAGGTTTTTACGAGTTGGAAGAGTGTTGTTAAGATACTTGATGGTAAAGTTAAAAATGCTACTAGGCAGATTGCTCTGTGTACTTGACCAAGTACCGTTCAGCTTTTCCAGTGAATGTTCAATAGGTAAGTTTTGGGAGAGACGTTCTTTATTGTCTAATTTGACAGCCTTAATTTGATACCTCTTTAGTATTACGATAGATGTCGTACTGTATGTTCGTGCCATGACTGATGTTTTTCCATAGGGTTTGAATGTCAATGTTAGGAGAAGATTTTAGGGCATTGCGACAGACAGTTTGGCATTGCGTAAATTTGATAGAAGGCAGTTGTAGATTTAGGCCAAACTGATTTTTGAGAGGATTATTCCACTCAAGGTAGAATGTAATTGCCACTGGCGAATGTAATTCGAAACAAGATTGTCTAGGTTTTGGACAACCCAGGTCTTTGGTAGATCTGCAACAGTAAAATGCCATGAAACCTTAGACAGAGCATAACGATGGTATAATAGCAGTTTGTTTTTTGGATGGAGAGGTAAGTCGTCAATATCCTTCATAAGAGTAGAGACAAGAGAAACAAGTTTAGCTTTATGATAATATGATCTTGGTTACTCATTTCGAAATCAAAGAAACGACCAAGATCGCCATTTTTGACAGCAGGTACTATTTGGTTGCAGATGAGAAGTTTCAGTTGAAATTGGCGGGATCGCGTAGAGCGTTTCTTAACACCAAAGGTAACACATTTGTCAACCCTGATTATGAAGTTTGCCCATTGGCACCATCTGGTAAAGCAGTTTAATAAGAGTTGGTTCTCCTTTTCTCTACTTGTAATAACAGCAGCATCATCAACAAACTGAAACCAGTGTACTGGCTGAAACATGCGGTCATTACCATCATGGGGGGAGAAACCAAGCTGCTTATATTTATCTGATTTGATGTATTGTATGAACGTGTTGAAGCAAAGGTTGGAAAGAAGGGGGCTGAGGCAGTCACCTTGCAATACGCCGCGGCGAACGGGAATTGCAGAGGTTTGGAATTTATCGGTTTTGATACAGGTCTTAAAATCAAGATATAAGCTTGAGATCAATGATTGAATTTCCGAAGGTATATGATGATAAGCAAGAATAGCTGGTATCAGCTTGTGGTGAACTTCGCCAAAGGCGTTTTTGAGATCCAGCAAAGATACCACTAAAGATCGTTGCTTAATGCGAGCTTTATTTATTAAATGGCCCATCATTGATGTGTGCTCTAATGTACCTGATACTTTGGAGGTGAAGCCTTTTTGGATTTGGTGCTGTAATGGTTTTGTAACTAGGTGGCTCTAGATCAAATGAATAAGATGGTTCATTGAAAGTAGGGATCCATGAAGGAATGGTGAAATGTTTGTTAGGGGCGATGGCAGAAAATGTTTTGACAAAGTATTCGGTACATCCTGTAGCCGAAAAAGTTGGAAGAGCTGAAGTTTCATATTGTAGAGTGCGTTTGACGTAATTCCAGAAAGTCTTGGAAATGTAACGGTCGTGGTTTGTTATATTGGAAGATATAGAGGGCGAGATTAGTTTTTTCATTTTATTACGAAGAAGGTTAGAGACATACTTAATTTCAATTAAAGGTGCACTAGAATGTTTCAAAGTTCTGAGTTCTTTTTTCAAATTCTTGGCAGTGAAATTGGAGTATTTTTCCTGGATATCTTCGTTGCAGCATTCCATTGTTCCACAGGTTTCTTTGAAGTAATTGTAGATGGTTTCGTTCATAAATTGGATTACACAATCAACCGTTGACGCATCGACAGAGATACTTGAAAAGACAGAGTGGAAGCTAACAGCCATTCCTTGTCAGATCTTGGAAGACGAATTCCAGGCTTGATTTCGAAATAATCATCAAGGGGAATATCAGAGTGATTGTCGTTATTTTCAAGGTCAGCATCGTTCACAACCTCTAACAATTGCTCTTCATCAAAGTCTTTAATGACTCTGAGGTTCCTTTGATGGATGCGGAGGCCCTTTATCCCTTTGCATGACTTGCCGCAAGAACACTTTACTTTGTTTCCTGGCGTAATCTGAAGTGCTAGATAAAATGAAATGTAGACCTACAATCACTGCCAAAATTACTTGGAACACCTAACATTTTGCACTGTACTTTTCTATTTTTTATTTGTTTTCTTGAATACTACCACTTCCGCCCCCCTTTCCCCCAAAACAATGTTGAAAGTATAGAAAAATATCAAACAATCAACAAGAAAAAGCGTACTCCATAACCCCTTTTTCTATAGTAAATCAACATTGTTCCTAGGGGGAGAGGGGGATGGCTGAATTTGCCTTTGAAAAAACTACGTTAGTGTTCCAAGACTTTTGGCAGTGATTGTAGTTTTAAAACTTCACAAAAGGCTTTATTTAGACTGAGGTACTTATATCTAGCCTACTGTTGGCTATCGCACTAGAACTTTATGACTACGCGAGTTGTACAACTGAAACTTTGTTTTCTGGCGAAATCTGACGTGCTTAGCTAGGTAGAGTAAACAATGAAATCAACTGCACAAATACCCATAAAATATATATTTTTTGATATAACTTGATGTGCTAAACACTGCGAATCGCTTGTCACATCTTCCTAGGTAAGCTTCAATGAGAAGCACCTATTATCCATGTATTTTGGAAAGAAATGTGAAGGAAATTGCTAAGCATCAACACAAAAAACCATTTTCTTTCCAATCATATACTTTAAGTTGACAAAGCTTAAGACTAAGCAAAGTTTTCAGAAATGAGTATTACTTCTGTTAAGACAGGGTGCTCTTTTATCCGGTAAAATATCTTAAAAATCTTAAAGCTAAGGGAATTTTTACAGCTGGAGTTCCACAGAGCTCTATTTTAAGTTGCTTTTAATTGTTTCGTTAAGTTATTTTCATGTTTAGTTTTTTAATCTATACTACAGCTATAACAGTAGAATTACGTCAGTCGGCAAATGGTTTGTTTTTATACTCGGCTGTTGTTTAAACACCATATATTGTAAAATTCAAAAACACATTCATTTCGATATGACAGAATAAGATGGATTACTATCTGGGCACTACACTACAAAGACAGAGGTAAGTTTAAAGGTATTTGTAGAATAAAATGGCAAATTCGTTCCGCTTGTTTGATTTTTGAAAAAAAGTTCCTTGACAGATAAGGCACAAAGTTTAAAACAGCCGATACAGGTGAAGAATTTGGAATAGCAGGCTATATTTTATTATTATTATCATGCTTTTATCATTATCGTTTGTTTGTTTGAATTGAACTTTACATCAATAGAAATAAATGACACTTATTTACATATTGAATACTAATTCAACCATTTTTAAGTGATGCTACTTTTTTGAAATTTAATACAGTCCTCTGGCAGGCCTCGTTTAATACAGAACGGGTCTCGTCATTTAGCTGTAATCTGAATTTGTAAAATTCTGAGAATTATGAGAAACAACGCATAAAATTCACAACACAGGTTAGAACGACAGAAAGATGTTTGACAGTGTATACAAGAATCAAAATCCATTAATGCAACTTAAATCACAACAGTACCCAATGTCATCGACAAATGCTTGGGTTAACGGGAATCCCAAGAAGCCTTGCGACGCTAATGTTGGTCAAAGATCATTTGACTGACATAGTGCAAAGGGGCATTGGCTTGCTGTTGCCCATCTTCGGCAGCTCTTGAAATACACCTTAAAAACAAGATTCATTGAAGACAGGTCGTATAATCTAAAAGTAGAATTTAGTAAGTTTCGATTGTAAACATAAAATGACAAATAACATTAAGAGGATCGAGCAAGAAAGCCTGAGTAAGATAAATAAAGTTTTAGTGTCAATCCGTTTATGGGCGTTGGGAGTAAGACCAGAGAAACCGGGGACGTGCCTTTCATTCTATCGTGCGAGAGCAATGTACAGGGGATTTGGACGAAGCTTTCCATTCTATAATGGGCACAACTAAATGCAGTCATATTTTCTTACAGCAGCACAAGAAGATCAGTTAAAGTCATTTATGTAAGCAAATATTTGAAATAGGAAAACAAGGAGCCTTTTGGTTAGGTAAATATTGGCCAAAAATAACATCAAATTAAATGGCCTATCCTTAAGACCAAAATTATTCAGAAATCACCCATACTATGTGAAGTATCAAGCCCGGCTCGATATCAGCAACGTTTCTATGTTATCAGTTAATTGCAAGAATACAAGACTTCAAAGTATCAATTAAGATAAATAGAAACTAGTTCAATAATATCAATTATAAAAATTGATATTTTATTACTGATATCTAGAATCTTAAAGTATATTTAGTAGGGACGGCCAATTTAAAAATTTTACAATTTGTCGATGTAGTATTATATCTTATTTCTTTCTGGATTATTTCTTACTTCTCTTGCACACTGAAGAAATTCCAAGTTCTGGAGAACTTCTTTACAAAACTGGTGGTAAAAAGCCACTTCATGGAATCATATGAATTACGGCGCAATGAAAAGGCACTTTGTCTCAGGACGTTACAGGAATAAACTGAAAACAGATTTCACAATACAAACTTGTGACATTGTTCCATCATTGGCAATGATTCGCTTTGTAAATGCACTGTATGAACGCTTCCAAGAAAATCAGTCAGCGGGGTCTAAAATATGAATAAACAAAGTAGAAAATAAAAATAATGCTTAGTGACTATCTGAAAACGTTAACAAGCGGCCGTAATGTGTAAAGTATGATTGGATTAAGAATAACAGTAGCCTGCTGGCAGATCTGCTCCAGGTTGGTCCTATTTGACAAAGCTAATATCAACTTGTTCTATTTTCTTGCATGTCGCCGAGCTCATGTTATATATTGTCATTAGCCTGCGTACAGACTCAAAATTTCCTACGTGAAAACTCTTCCCATAGTCGAGTCTGCACGCAGGCTACTTGCCATCCGCCTAAATAGGGATGGATATTTCAATGATAAATCGATGATGTCTAAGAATTTTTAAGAGGAGTTGTGGGGCTAAAATTACAGGCTTTGGAAACAGACATGACATAGTTGTCTCCATAACAAAATTTTTCCATAAAACCAAAAAAATTGGTAGGGCTTCATTCACAACATCAAACAATCAGTTTACTTCCTTATTCAAAGTTTAAGTTTAGCGCAATGTATATTTAGGGTGCTTCCTTTTCATGCAACAAAGTTATGATAGCAATGGCTATGTAATATACTTTAGTCGGCTATAGAACGGTTTTGTCCAATATCAGGGCTCATTAGTAAAGCAATTAGGCCTAGGGCCAGCAATTAGGCTGTCAGTGGCAATGCATATGGGAGGTAGTGTCTGGAATAAACGGGTTTGGCAGAACCTTTTCCAAGCCATAACAAACGAGTTTGACGAGTAGCAACAGAAGTAACATAAAGAGGATGTTGGTTTCATGAAGCCTTTGGTTGAAATAGGATAACAAATAATTATAATAGATCTCTCAAGTTTCTTTATACAAAAGGCATAGAAATAACGGACATTAACATGTTTTTAGCTACTTTAACGAAATCTGAGTTTCAAAAAGCGATCGCTTTCAGTCCTTGTAGCTTATACAATGGCTTCAACTGACTAAGAGACTTTCACAGATACATTTTTCTTACCTTGTCAGGGTCCCTTTGAAAAAGATCAGTCCTTTGAGTTGGAGTTGACCTGACCAACGAATAATCTGACGTTCCACGAAACTTAAATGAAAATGACATATCAACAACGATAGCTACTACTAACCAGTCTGTGTTGCAGAGCCTGATTGTACGAAGGTTCTCTTACGACAGAAACACTAAAATTGCGAATTTAAATCGTCTAGTTTTGCAATTTCGATCAAAAAGGTAAATAATTTTGGCTGTGTTCATTTTTCCTTTTCAATTTATATCATCAGTTATTTCGAGTGATACAATAAATAAACTCTTTCAACAAAGCAAGAATCTTTACCTTACATTATGAGTAACTATAGAAGATTTTATAATGATTCAAGTGCTTAGAAATCTAAGTGATTATTGTCAACCAAGCACACAAAGCTACTCAACTTCAAAGGAGTACTTACAAAATCATCTAGCGAATGCGTGCTATTTTGGGTTACTTGCTCAAGGTACTGTAAGATGTAATAGGTCCATGAATCGATCACGTGCACGCCAATTGATGGGTCGTCGTGATGCTGCAATTGGTTGAAAGATATAGAAAACAAGTGAGCACCTTCAACTTTGATGCAAATAATTACAGCAGCTACAGAGATATAAAGGTATCTTAAAGATTCTTTGCCTAGGTACTTTTTTGGCTTATCAAGTCTGTGCATATTGTTAGCCATTATGTTACAGGTTTCCTCTTCTGCTACATTCTTGCGTTGACTTACAGTTCATTGCTACTTGGGGGTTCAAGTTTTAGAAGTCAACAGAAAAGCCTATTTGTCAAAAGATAAGTTTAACTATCAACAAGGGTAGCGGTGGCACGAAGCTTCATTATCTTGTCCAAATGTATAACAAATATGCCATCTCCTTTGATATTGAAAACGTGCTCTAAAGTATATTGGCTGCACAACTTGTAAGAAAAAGGCCCCCTCAAAAATAGCTCTCCACAGCAGTGTGTACTGGACGTAAAACTGGGCCATTTCACTGGTGATGGCATCAACATATAGATTTTTCTATTCTGATATAGCCTTATAACTAAATATATTGATACTTAAACGTTTATTTTGTCTTCCAAGTGCTTAATACTACTATGTTTTTGCTTCTACTCTCAAATTTCTTGGTAAAAGTATTTTACAGAAACTATATTCTGAAAGTGGCTAATATTGTTACTTTTCTGTTATCTAAAATATATAGAAAAGTTTTTGTATCAACTAAAAAAAGAAATTTGCCAAACCAACCGACAACGAATCTTCGCCAACTTTACTACTTGCACCAGCGATTATATTTGGGGAGTAAATCTTGCCATAAAGGGATTCTGCCTGGCACGTGTCAACCAGCAGCAAAAGCTCATTATACCTTAAATAAACAGAGAGGATGACAGAGAAATAAAAATATGATGCAATCAGATCAATGATCGTCTCTTTTATCTGAACACAAAAGAAATTAATTGGGAAACAGAATTTGACTTATTAAAGATAATGCTGAGAAATGTATATTTTTAAAAGCATTACAAAACGAAACTGGAATCAAAGAAAACTGTCAACAGCTAGGGCATGTATAAATGAAACGTTGAGGGATTCAAGAGGATCTATTTTACTAATTTTATCACCCTTTCAGACAACTACCTTGCATCAGATGGACTGAAAGGACAACAAATGATGAAGTAATGAAAAAGACTGAACGTAAGCAAAGATATTTAGATATATACAGCGTGTACTTTAGAACATTGGTTATGATGAAACACTGTCAACTGGGAGTATTGCGTGTGGATCTAAAGGAAGAGGGTAACTAAACACCTATTATATTGATCAGCTGAAGGCTTGTGTGGCATGACTATCTTCAATTAGGGCCACAAGCCCGCAATAAGATCGATATTATATGGTGCAGAGCTGCTACGGCTGGTTAGGACCGACCAATCCTTAAGTGACGATGATGATGTTCAAATCATAAGTCTAGTCAAGATTCCAGCATACAACCATAAGAAATGGCGTTGCGTATAGATTCAAACCTGCAACTACCAGCAAAATAAACACACCTTTTGACAACTTTGCCTCAGTAAGTTAGCTCTGACAAAACAAGCAATATCAAAGTCCTCAGATGAAGGGTCTGAAAAGAATTTTTCACTTGTTGGAAATTTTTGCCATAAACACGTAATACATGAGAGTCCTGAGGGTATGCTTGAATTACATTGATAAAAGCATTGCCATTCACATGTGAACAAAACCATTATTGTGTGTGAGAGCAATATCTACCTTCCCTTTTGCCACATTTGCTCGAATGCATCTGCTAATTCAATCGATGTAATTTCCTCAGAATCTTGGAATTTCAGAAACCCATCTCCACCATGACCTTTAATAATATTGAAAATCATTTCAAAACCAAAGAAAAACATGTAAACTGCACATCAGGCTATCTTTTCAAAAGATACAATTATTAACAAGGAAAGATTTCTGAATTACTACCACGTCTTACTTCAGCCTCTCAATCTCTCCTATAACTGCCCTCTCTTCTCCTTCTTTTTTGTACGACCATTTACTGCTCCCTCCTACTGCCTTCTCTTGCTCTCTATATTTACTGCCTTTTTTTGCTGCATCCTGCTGCTGCATCCTCTTGCTGCCCCCCCCCCCCCTGCTGCATCCTCTCGCTGCCTTCACTTGCTGTCTTCATTTGCTACTTTCACGTGATGACTCCTCTAACTACGTCAATTAACTTTCTTCTTACTGCCTCATCTTGCTTCTTACTCCAACTTCTTTCTCTTAAAGGTTCTTGTACAACCGTACAAAGGTTCTTGTACACCTTGCTATCATAACTCAAAAGACCGGCCTAATATCGTACTGAATGAAAATACAAAGAACGTTCAATATATCAAGATAACTGCCGGTAAGCATGCCGGTTGTACAAGAACCTTTAATTGAACTTTTGGAAATGTGAAAAAATTGAACTTTGGAAAAGCTTAGAATTCTGAGCGTATGTGGAAGTCTATCGGTATTATTGGCTGTTGAGCAAAAACCATAGACACTAAGACTAAAAATGTACTTCCGTTATCTAAGCACAACATTAGAACGGAAGTGGATATCATGGTACAAACGTTATAAGCATTTAAAGGTAATGAAAAGATCGACGAATTTCGATGTTTGTCACTGCAAAACCCTTCCGGATAAATTTCTGCAAAAAACCTCTAAGGATGTTGAATTAAAGACAAAACAACGGATGTTAAAATTTACGCTATTAAAATTAAGAAATTTTTAAAGAAAATGAGCATTGAAATTTTTCGAGCCTTTGGACACCGGGGCACTAAGTAACGACTATTGCTTCTTATAAAAAGGTCAGTGCACTCCCTCTTTCTCCCTATTGTAAAAATAATATTTCTTTGACAGACAGTAGTTCTTAACATGGCAAACCTAAGGTGTTTTGAAACTAAAAAAATTATGTTTTCTCTCAGTTTATTTGCAGTTCACAAAATGGATTAGTATAGAATTTGAGCAGGTTACACAGCGCTCCTTTTAAACCCTGTTAATTTTGTTGGTGAGACAGTTCACAAAGCATCCAAAAAGATTGGAATTGCCTACGAAATGCCCTCTTTATCAATTGTAATGACACGATTAAGCAAACCTGTCAGGTAAATAAAAATATTGCTTGTTTCATCTGATAAAAGTCTCTTTGATCGAGGAACTGTGTCTTCTAATCGTCCTAGGACATGAAGAAGGAAAGAACATCTTCTTGAGAAAAATGTACCAAATTATACCAATTCTAACCAAATGTTTGAATAATACATATATTTGAAAAGCCATACAAACATAAAGGAAGAGGTAAACCAAATTTCAAGTTGTTTTTTATAGTCAATGTGGACTTCCTCTTCGCAGTTTTGACGGCAAACGGTAAAGGGTTGAAGGTAAATGGTAAACGGTTAAGGAAACCGAAATATGCTGCATATTGTTTCCAAATATTTTTTGCACCATTCTTATTAAGTTGTATGCCAAGAAATATTGCCAGAAATGAGATTTTTTCGGTTATGGTTGCAGATTTTCACAGACAAGGCGTAGAAAACATGAAAACGCACATTAAAAATAACAACTTTCACAGGAAAGAGCGAACAAATACACAATCCCGAAAATCAGCATCTACTAGTTATCGACGTTAGTCAAGTTTTCAGTTCTAAACAGAACCGGGACGGGTGGAAATAGTCTACAAAGATGGAAAACATTTTTTAATATACGTTTGCGATGTATTTTTAATCACATTTTTCACAATGTCAGTGGGTGGGTTTCCAGGACATTAAAAAAATACACAAAAAACAGAATACAGACCTGTTAGAATTCTTATGAAGTTCTCAACAGTGACCTGAAAAGGAGCAAGTTAAAAATCTCAACATGAAAATTACATGCGAGCAATGTTACTTTAGTACAGAAGTCGCCTTTGAAGATATGATTTCTTCAATCATACGTCCTTGACTGATATTTTTGTAAAGTTGTATTTCTCTCTCGAGTCTCAGGGCAAAGACAATTAAGACACGTTTGATGACGTTATGCGTTTATAAATTTGCACTTTAACAATTATCATTCCCTTTCAAGTGTCTGTAACCATCCATAACCTTTAAAATTTTGGGTATGGTATTGCAAATGAATTTAATATACAGCTATAACTTTGTAAACAAATATAATTCAATTTATCAGGGTACCTCATATCCTCTATAATCCACTTCAATATCATCCCCGTAAACATTGATATGTTGATTTCTATTATTGAACACAGTTGCTACAAAGGAATACATGAAATTAAAACGGTTTCTACTGAACAGATAGACTATCCTGTTTTCTATATATATATCAGATCTTCAAGCCCTTTAAAATCCAACAACGATACAAGATGAAGTAACGATTGACATAAACCTTGAATATTTCGCATTTAAAAATCCGCAATAAAAGCAAAATGATAACTATGACGATGTTAGCATACTATATTACCACCTCATTTTTCATACGGCAGAACGAAATGTGAATTTGTTTGCACCATCCGTTAGCTCTTTCTTAAAGTCATATTTTCTGCAACTTTCTGTTTTCCTACTTGTAAAGTGATCCCTCCCTTCACCCTTACCCTCTATTCTCCTTTATTCTCTAGTATTCTCCTTTCCATCCCAATGATATTTCAAACATCGCATGCTCTAACTGAGTTTCCAAAGCCTTCATACATCACTAACTTTATTCAATGTCATTGGTAGTTTATCATAAATTTGTTATCTTCTCCTATAATTTGTAATCGATCCGCCATCTTCAGGTATGAAAGCAATTGAGCATGAGCCTTAATCTCCTCAATCTTATTTTTTCATTCAATTTATGTTCTTTTATCATCAGTCCATAGAGATCCCCCAATCAGTTCAAAGGTGTTTATCAAAAGCTGGCTATGTGGCTACTATGTAAAAAAAAGACAATACCAGGCCTTGGATTCCGGGGGCTGCATGCAGCATCATCAGCTAGCATCAAAATTATGTGGCTAAAATCCAAATAGAACACAAGTTTAAAAACAGATAAGGTGTATATCAGAAGGGTTTTGAACCGTCTTCATCAATCATAAAAGATACCTCAGCAACCCCTCTTAAAGCCCCCTCATCCCCCACTTCTGCGGTCCCTGCTTGCATCACAACATTTTAGAAAGAAAATCTGCAAACGACCAGCAATCAAGGAGCACATCAAAAAATTATTATCTAACCAGGAGCAATAAAGTTTGCTTTCCCTTGATATTTAATATATAAAATAACCATTTAAGATAATTCCTTCTAAAGTGATGAGTGTTTTAAAAACTTTTCATCTGCTAGCATTTGAATAACTTGAACCAAGAGCGTCTTTAAATCAGCTGTTAAAGCTCTAGATTCGGTGTTGGTTCCAGGTTTCAGGTACTAAATTTTCTACTCTCCACTAAATTCTCCACTTGCTAATTCTCCACTTGAGTCAAAGGGTCAGAAAGGGCAACTTGCTCTGCTGCTCCAAGAAGGACATCAAAACCCTATTTGCAGGAAAAGTTATCTTGTCCGATGATTGCATTAAGTGCAAAACTCTGAGTTGCAAATTAGAACTGTCCAGTTCAGCTGTACACACAAACATAAACAGCTCTACCAGCCAACAAAACAGCAATTTTTTATAAGCAGGAAATAAAAATGATACGTTTTAGAGAAAGAAAATACTGTTTGTACATTTAAAGAGGAATCTTATTCTTGGTGCAAAGATGACTGGATAGTTAGGGTTGTGGACTGCAGATCCAAGGGCATTGGGTTCAAGTCTTTTAGACCAGAGGTGAGAGGGGGAGCATTATCACCTGAGCTGGCAATTAACCAGACTAACTTTTTCTGACTCAACTTTTTGCGTAGATTACGAATCCGGATGTTGCTTTGGCGTTTAGGGGGGCGTTTTCTAGATATAGGGGGTCAAAGCCCAAAAAAAGCGATGTGACCTAATTTGACTGTATTTAATTATTGCACTTTAGGAAATGTTTAATTTTATTAAAAATTGGTTTCTTGATCAATGCTCTGTCAAATTTGGCCTTTTCTGGCATTGATGGGGGGGGGGGGCAGGCAATTACAGGGAAGGGGAATTTCACTATTACTGTATTCTTAAAGCGTTTAGTTTAAATTCGCAATGTCCTCAGGATAGTATAGTAGGGCTCCGTGAACCAATCAATTAACAGATCATCTAACCAGCCGTGATTGGCGGGTTTTTTTTGTTGATTATGCTTTGTAAAGCTAGTCTCTTTACTCTTGCTACAAAGTTTGCACGCTTGAAGTGTTTTTCGAGGCTGCTTTTACATGAGGGCAGCAGTGACCGACCAGTTACTTTGTTTTCCTTTTGAAAAGTCCACCAGAATATAGCATATCTTGCTTCATTCACTGACATCAATCGTTTCTCTCCATACAGTGTGCAAACAAACCTTTCTAAGCCGAGTAACAAATTACTACAAGTAATAATTTTTCTTGCCAAGCTCTGATAACATTTTTTGGAATTCTTCATCGCCTCCAAAAAGCGTTTCCAAAATGCAGGCTTTCCTTTCGCAAGAAGGATGAGATGTAGAAATTTCCCGAAAATGCATGCAGGCCAAGGAGCGCTTTCTTTCGCAATAAAGATAGCGCAAAAGCATTTAGATCCAGTAGTCTCCTGTATTTTCCTCTTCCGCACTACATAAAGAAATGCAAGTTTTTAGCCTCGTTGGCTAAAAGGATAACAAGAATATCAACATCTCCAGAGCGCACAATGCAAAACTGTCTCCTGTCCATTATTCATCCGTAGGGCATGGTGAAGTAGGTAGCAAATTTTGGTATCTGCTTTCCCATGGTTTGTGTTTGACTTTCCCACCTGAGTTACCCCTTTGCTCTCAATCTTAACACAAGAATTTTTTCTTGCAAAGTATATTACTCGATCGTTGAGTTGAGACTACTTATTGTGGCGCTAGAAATTCTCTGACGGAGGGGCTTGCCTTCCGATAGGGGGGCTATGCAATTGGAGAGAAAGCATGGAATCCCAATTGCAAAAAGACGCACAATCATTAAGATTATGACAGGACATGAATATAACAGACAAGAAAGAACAGCT